TGTTCGGCTCGGAGACGGACTACTGTGGATGTTTCCTGCTCAAGTTTTGTTTCAAGGAATAGCCAGAGCACTTCATCCGTGACCTCCCTGCTGATTGTAACTACTAACAAAAGTAAACACGCCTAAAGATGTAGGATCAATGTTGGATCTTTTTAACGCGCTGCTTCAGGCAGTTGCACACCTGTGAATATCACATCCGTGCTGAGCGTCCCTCGGCGGAGGCACTGGCAGCTTTCGTGGTGTCTCTGCAGCACTCACAGCTGAGCTGAGCTGCCGCACTAGGGAAGGGAGAAAATCCGCGGAAACCAAAGTCGCGGTGTATCCCCGCGGTGGCCGTTTCGGGCGACCCTTCGCCGCCGCTCCAGCCGCGACCCGCGCAGCTACGGCTTTTGTTTGCCAAAATCCCGATGTCTGCTCCGGAGCTCGATGGCTCCGATTTTATGGGAGCCTTGCTCTGTTTCTGGTTCAGTTTTCTTTTTTCTTAGCAAATCTCCTACTGAGACCGAGGGAGAGATTCATATGTCAGGGTACGGGGGGAAATACCTTAACAACTACAGCGATGTTTTGTTTTCCCTAATGAGTAAGACAGGGACGATTCCAGCTACCGCTAGGCCTTGACCAATTATGTGCGCCTAGGGAAGTCAGTTTTCGCCTGCGTGGCTGCGTTCCCAGTCGGCCCCGGGAGAGCGACGCTAACGGAAACTTCTTAAGGAGCATTTTAATTTTATTTTCTTTGTCTGGTAATTAAAAACAACTACCTCAGCAGCTCTCTCCCGGACAAATACTAGCCTAAGAAGTGCTCCGCTTGGGTGTAAAGGTCTCCGACGTGCCTTCCCCTCGCGAGCAGCCCGTGTTTGCAGCGGTCGGCACCATCACGGCTTTCCCTATGGCAGGGCCCTTCGGTACCATGCTGCGCCCAGCCTCTGCCGCAAATGCAGCAGAGGGAAGAGGCTTTGCCCTGCCAGGGCACCAAACATGCTGGTGCCGCCGGCACGAGTATTATTTTGAAAAGCGATGGTTTTTTGCGCGCCTTGAGACTGGTGTTCTTTAAACGCGCAGCCACCAGACCCAATCCTCCCTGAACACTAGGGGTATCGGTGTATTTATGCAAATCCATGCAGCAAAATATTTACTTCACCGCTTTGTTGCAGCTTCCCCTCCTTTACAACCTTTAACCAACGAGGCGAATTAAATAAAACCGAGAACAATAGCTTCTCTTGCTCGTGCCTCCCTCTAGAGCTGGCGCTTTGCAGGAGTGGAAACGTGCCTGCCTCGTTGGCAGGGAGGGGGGGAAGAGGAAGGGAAACGAAATGAATCAAACCCGCCCTACAAATCCAGTCCCCGTGGACGGCGTTTCCTGCTGCGTCGGGTGCATTCCCGGGGGCGAAGCGGTGGGTGCAGGAGAAGGGCCCAGTGCCGGGTGGACTCGGCGGCGGCCGGCACCTCCTCGGAACCCTGGCTGTGATTTTCCGAGCGAGGCCTCGGCTCGGCCCCGGCCTTGCCGGGAGCATGCTCGTTTCTGGGCAGATAATAGAAATATGTCCTGTTTGTCGCAGTGTCTGGCGCGTCCATTCGATTTCTTTCATGGAACCATCACTCAGGGGGTGTCAGGCGGTGGGGGAAAATGACGCAGATATCTTGGTAGGAATTTATATCTCATCCCTCGGCCTGATGCTCCTAAAAAGGACTGCTCTCGGCCGTCCTGTTTCATACCGCGCTCTGCGGGACCCCGCTGCGAAGCGGGAGCAAAGGGAGGGAGGACAGAGGGGGAGAGAAATTAAACCGTTTTACTCATCGGAGCAGACCTCTCCACCCACGGCTGCGGGAGCCGTTCAGCAAGCTCTTTCCTCGGCTACTTCCTTCGCTAGGAAACGCGCCCAAACCGTATGATTTAGGGGGGGAAAGGTCCTTCTCTCTGTCTACGCAAGTTTTGGGACCCCCTAGCCATTAAAGCTCCCTAGTAACCCCCACGAAAGGCCGTAAAAGTTTTCCATTTCTCTACTCGTCCACCATCCACGGGGGACGCTAGGCCTGGCTTGTCCGTGGCTTGCGTGGCGGGGCTGGAAGCCCCGACCAGTGGGAAGCAGCCCTGCGGCAGGAACGGGGCCAGTGTGCTCGCCGGGCCCATCTCCCTCCAGCCGGGCTGGCAGCAAACGCCTTCGCGGAGAAAAGGGCCGTGTTTGCCGGCAAACGTCCCCTGCGCCGCCGCCCCGCAGCCCGCTGAGGGGAGCAGGAAAAGGCGAAGCAGGGCCCCGGCGCACACGTCGGGGGCTCCCTGGGCCAGCCCGCAGCGTGGACTCAGCTCGCAGGCGGGGCTGCAGTCCTCACTGGCCGCTGCCTCGATCGCAACCCTGCAGTATCCGAGCGAAAAGCAGGTTTTGTATGCAATGTGCCGTTCCAGACCCCACAGAAACACCCAGAATCCCAGGACGGACGGCGGAAAGGCGCAGGGGAGAGTTAGTCTAGACCCGTGGAGATTCTGAAGGTTAGTGTAGGAGTGGATTACAAAAAGGATATCGGGATGCTGATACACTTTATAATTGAATAAATTTGGTTTATTTTAATCAAATATCATAGCAGAAAGTTAAAGATATTTCTAAGATATTTTCTTCAATTTTATTAAATTTATATAATTTATTCAACATAAGAACAAGAATTAAAATAGTACAAGTGCACTTGTCTTGATTAATAAAGCATTCCTAAATGTCTTCCTTATTGGTATTTATTATTAGGAAGTTTATGTCGTTTCCCGCAATCACCATCTTTTAAAATTGCAAATATATATATATATTTATATATAATTAGAAATTTATTGCTACAAACTCTGTATCAAATTTGCAAAAAAAAGTAGATGAACTGTTAAATCTAGAGATTGTTCTGGATACGCTTATAAACAAAATAAACCCATAAACAAGTGAAGCACCCGAAGAAAGGAAATGTCAAGTGGAGGGACACGGGGTCACTCGTCCTACGGCAAGATCACGTACAACGGTAGATGAACCGAGATGTCAGGCTACGGTCCTGGTTATTTTTGATTGCCTTTCACAAAGAGTTTTAGGGCAAAAATTAATTTGTCTGGCCTTCAGCTCTGTCTTCTTCTAGATCATGTGCTTCCTTTTTGGCCTCCCCTTCCTTTCCCTCCTGTCTGGAAGCGGGGAATTTGTCCTTGTTGTTCTCTTTTTTCCATTTCATCCTCCTGTTCTGAAACCAGATCTTTACCTGCCTCTCGGTGAGTCCTAGTGCATGGGACACCTCGATTCTCCTCTTCCTGGTCAGATAGGGGTTAAATAGGAACTCCTTTTCCAGCTCTAGAGTCTGGAATCGGCTGTACGTTTGCCTTCCTCTCCTCCTACCAGGCGCTGCTGTTTAAAACAAAAACATAGGGATTTGGAGGTTGGTGTGGCCGTTCAAAACAAGGCGTAGGCAGGGAACGAGAGCTCCGGTCCCTCTGGAATCCCTCGAGAGAAGCCCCACAGAACCAAAGGGAGAGAAAACAGAGGGCACGAAGGAGTCTAGAGCTTTACATAAGTGAGAGAAAAAAAGAGATAGCAAATGCACGAAGTGCCTCAGCTGCTCCTCTGCACAGGGGGTTGCGGATTCACTTTATGTTCTTTTATTCCATCCTCCCCACACCACTTCCCGACCCTGCACCCTTCCCGTTCAGGCAGCGGCGACGGGAGACGAGCGAGCGTGTCAGCTATGCCTCAGGGTTCGAGAGGCGCAGTCTTAAAGACTACTCTTGGGTTGGTAGCTGCCTGCCGCAGAGGTTTCTGTTTGCTTACTCTATCGCTTTATTATCGCAAGACACCGCAGTAAGAGGAATCGCGGGGAGAGAGGTAGGGAGTGAGGGAGACAGAGGTAGGGAGCGAGAGTCAGCGAGAAAGAAGCGTGAGGAGGAAAAGAAAGTTTCAAACTCAGACGTGAGATGGAAGCAAATTTTTGACTGCGTCCAACCTTGTGGTCTCATCCAGGGAAACATTTGAGCAGGAGACGAGCTCTGATTTAAGTGGTCTGGTTCCTCGCCAATATTAGCACTGGACGATTTACAGTCAGGATATTGTACCAGCTCGGCCTCTTGCTGTGTCGTAAAAATCTGCTGTCTCTGTAAGTTATCGTATCCGTAAAATTTAGCGGGCTCCCCGTGACAGGTAACCCCGCTGCAGGGGGCAGGAGGCGGAGGCGCGGCGGGGGGAGGAGGAGGCGGCTGGTAGGCGGCCGTGGGGCTCCCCCCGGCCGGGTGGTAAAAGTCCGCGGCCGCGCCGCCGCCGCCCCCCACCCCGCCGGGCGCGGGGTGCGGGAAGCCGGCGGCGGCCGCGCCGTTCCCGTAGAGCAGAGCGGCGGCAGCGGCGGCGGCGGCAGCGGCGGCGTGTCGGCCGCTCACCTCGGGTGCGAAGTGACAGTCGTAGTACGGGGAATTGATGGGCTCCCCCGCCGCCGCCGCCGCCGCCGCCGCCGCCTTGTACTTGGAGTACAGCGGGTTGACAAAGTAGGAGCTCATCGGGGAGGGGGCAGCGGCGGGCGGGGGCGCGGGCACGGGGCGCTGCTCACGCCGCCGCCGCCGCCGCCGGTGCCTCTACGCCGCGCTCATGCCGCCGCCGCCGTCGCTGGCCCGTGCGCTCCCCGCTCCTGCTCTCCGTGTATGTGGTGACCAGGACTGGATTATAATCGCTCCCAAAATGACCTGCCTCACTGCTTTTACTATTTCCTATTAGGCACACAGCAGCCCGCGCACGCACACACACACACACACACACACACACACGCTCATGAGCTCAGGGGGGACTTTTGGCTTCAGTTTACATGTGCCGCTCCTCGGGCAAGAAAAAAGCCCTGCCCAGCCCTGCCCGGATCCACCCCGGCCGCGGCACCCCCGCTCCCCCACCGGTGCGCGCTCGCCAGGAGCTGCTGAAAGCCCCGTCGCGCAGGGGCGAGGCGGCCGCGCAGATCCCGCGCGATAACCGCGGGCGCGCTGCCCGGGGCAACACTGCCCGGCTCGCCCAGGCTGCACTGCCCGGAGCGCGGCCTGCACCGCCGGCCGGCAAGGGCATAGCCCCTCCGAGGGAGCCGATGCCTGGCGAAGGGTCTCGGGGATGTCGGTGAAGGCATCTGGGGGGCCCGAGGGGCGGCAGCGTGCAGCGGCCGGGCCCCATTGCCAGAGGGCCCCCGGGGTCATTTCCTTGCAGGCGAGCAGATCGCTGGGGAATGAAATGCAGATTTACCCTTGACGCTGTGCACGCATGGCTGAGGCTTCAGGTTAATTGATACTTAATGGAAATCATGCCTATGAATATAGTTTCCATCATTTCACCCTTGGTGGACGTCATTACCGAGGGAAAAAAGAAAAGTGTGGGTGAGTGGTTAGTATCGCTCGGGGACTCGGTCCGAAATAAGCGAGCCCTGTTCTCCGGCAGGAAGGAAGGAAGAAAAGCGCTGCCCGGCAGGCTCGGCGCTGCCCCCGCTCCTCGGGCCGACCACCCCCGCTGTCCCCCGCGCCCCAAGAGGTATCGTCTCCAGTCCTCTCTTTCCTGCTTCGTCCTGCAGTGGGAACCAGCTTTTAGGACAGACATCCTCACGAGCTCGAGTCCTCCCTATTTTGGAGAGAGACGAAAAATGTAGATGAAATATAATACAGGCCCAGCCAGAGCCATGTGTGACCATCTGATGTGAATTGACAAAAAAATATTTGTGGTTACATAAAAGGCATCACAGGCTCCTTCCCCATCACACCCGCTCTCCCACCACCACCCCCGCCCCCATGACGATTAACCCGCTATGTCCAGCTGACCAGCCCGGCTGCCCCGCATGTGAGCGCCCAGATGGGCTTGTGCCCGCAGCGACACCCTCACCCGGGCAGGGGCCCCGCGTCCCGGGGCGCACGCTCTTGGGAACTTGCGGAGGCTTGGGGACCCCCATGTAGCCCGGAGAAAGGCGGGGGAGGCGGGAGAGGCCTAGGAACGCACATACACGGATTTTTGGTACTACACGGACCGTCAGCAGCAAAAGCCCTTCGCCAGACACCAACGGGAAGGCAGGAGGCCGGGCCAGGCAGGGGGGAGCGGCAGCAGAGCGATAGTGCCTCACCCCGCGGAGGGGCACGGAGGGGTAGTGGCTGCTTCCCGCATCCGCGCCAGAGACCCCCGCCCCTCCTCCTGCGCAGCCCGCGGGGGCGTTAATTCCGCGGGGTGCGGTGGCGGGGCCGCGGTTCCGCGGGCCGGGGGCGCTGCGCGGACCCTGCGCGGGGCGCGGCGGCGGCGCTCGGGTGGAGCGCGGGCGCCCTCTGGCGGCGCGCGGCGGTAGCGGCAGCAGCGCCCCCGCCCCTCGCTGCCCGCGCTGCCCGCGGCCCCTCGCCCCCGCTCCGGCCGGTGCCGCGCCACAGGCGAGAACGGTGAGGCCGGTGATGAGCG